CTTGTGCTCGTTCCTCGTCTAACCCCTTGTGCTCGTTCCTCGTCTAACCCCTTGTGCTCGTTCCTCGTCTAACCCCTTGTGCTCGTTCCTCGTCTAACCCCTTGTGCTCGTTCCTCGTCTAACCCCTTGTGCTCGTTCCTCGTCTAACCCCTTGTGCTCGTTCCTCGTCTAACCCCTTGTGCTCGTTCCTCGTCTAACCCCTTGTGCTCGTTCCTCGTCTAACCCCTTGTGCTCGTTCCTCGTCTAACCCCTTGTGCTCGTTCCTCGTCTAACCCCTTGTGCTCGTTCCTCGTCTAACCCCTTGTGCTCGTTCCTCGTCTAACCCCTTGTGCTCGTTCCTCGTCTAACCCCTTGTGCTCGTTCCTCGTCTAACCCCTTGTGCTCGTTCCTCGTCTAACCCCTTGTGCTCGTTCCTCGTCTAACCCCTTGTGCTCGTTCCTCGTCTAACCCCTTGTGCTCGTTCCTCGTCTAACCCCTTGTGCTCGTTCCTCGTCTAACCCCTTGTGCTCGTTCCTCGTCTAACCCCTTGTGCTCGTTCCTCGTCTAACCCCTTGTGCTCGTTCCTCGTCTAACCCCTTGTGCTCGTTCCTCGTCTAACCCCTTGTGCTCGTTCCTCGTCTAACCCCTTGTGCTCGTTCCTCGTCTAACCCCTTGTGCTCGTTCCTCGTCTAACCCCTTGTGCTCGTTCCTCGTCTAACCCCTTGTGCTCGTTCCTCGTCTAACCCCTTGTGCTCGTTCCTCGTCTAACCCCTTGTGCTCGTTCCTCGTCTAACCCCTTGTGCTCGTTCCTCGTCTAACCCCTTGTGCTCGTTCCTCGTCTAACCCCTTGTGCTCGTTCCTCGTCTAACCCCTTGTGCTCGTTCCTCGTCTAACCCCTTGTGCTCGTTCCTCGTCTAACCCCTTGTGCTCGTTCCTCGTCTAACCCCTTGTGCTCGTTCCTCGTCTAACCCCTTGTGCTCGTTCCTCGTCTAACCCCTTGTGCTCGTTCCTCGTCTAACCCCTTGTGCTCGTTCCTCGTCTAACCCCTTGTGCTCGTTCCTCGTCTAACCCCTTGTGCTCGTTCCTCGTCTAACCCCTTGTGCTCGTTCCTCGTCTAACCCCTTGTGCTCGTTCCTCGTCTAACCCCTTGTGCTCGTTCCTCGTCTAACCCCTTGTGCTCGTTCCTCGTCTAACCCCTTGTGCTCGTTCCTCGTCTAACCCCTTGTGCTCGTTCCTCGTCTAACCCCTTGTGCTCGTTCCTCGTCTAACCCCTTGTGCTCGTTCCTCGTCTAACCCCTTGTGCTCGTTCCTCGTCTAACCCCTTGTGCTCGTTCCTCGTCTAACCCCTTGTGCTCGTTCCTCGTCTAACCCCTTGTGCTCGTTCCTCGTCTAACCCCTTGTGCTCGTTCCTCGTCTAACCCCTTGTGCTCGTTCCTCGTCTAACCCCTTGTGCTCGTTCCTCGTCTAACCCCTTGTGCTCGTTCCTCGTCTAACCCCTTGTGCTCGTTCCTCGTCTAACCCCTTGTGCTCGTTCCTCGTCTAACCCCTTGTGCTCGTTCCTCGTCTAACCCCTTGTGCTCGTTCCTCGTCTAACCCCTTGTGCTCGTTCCTCGTCTAACCCCTTGTGCTCGTTCCTCGTCTAACCCCTTGTGCTCGTTCCTCGTCTAACCCCTTGTGCTCGTTCCTCGTCTAACCCCTTGTGCTCGTTCCTCGTCTAACCCCTTGTGCTCGTTCCTCGTCTAACCCCTTGTGCTCGTTCCTCGTCTAACCCCTTGTGCTCGTTCCTCGTCTAACCCCTTGTGCTCGTTCCTCGTCTAACCCCTTGTGCTCGTTCCTCGTCTAACCCCTTGTGCTCGTTCCTCGTCTAACCCCTTGTGCTCGTTCCTCGTCTAACCCCTTGTGCTCGTTCCTCGTCTAACCCCTTGTGCTCGTTCCTCGTCTAACCCCTTGTGCTCGTTCCTCGTCTAACCCCTTGTGCTCGTTCCTCGTCTAACCCCTTGTGCTCGTTCCTCGTCTAACCCCTTGTGCTCGTTCCTCGTCTAACCCCTTGTGCTCGTTCCTCGTCTAACCCCTTGTGCTCGTTCCTCGTCTAACCCCTTGTGCTCGTTCCTCGTCTAACCCCTTGTGCTCGTTCCTCGTCTAACCCCTTGTGCTCGTTCCTCGTCTAACCCCTTGTGCTCGTTCCTCGTCTAACCCCTTGTGCTCGTTCCTCGTCTAACCCCTTGTGCTCGTTCCTCGTCTAACCCCTTGTGCTCGTTCCTCGTCTAACCCCTTGTGCTCGTTCCTCGTCTAACCCCTTGTGCTCGTTCCTCGTCTAACCCCTTGTGCTCGTTCCTCGTCTAACCCCTTGTGCTCGTTCCTCGTCTAACCCCTTGTGCTCGTTCCTCGTCTAACCCCTTGTGCTCGTTCCTCGTCTAACCCCTTGTGCTCGTTCCTCGTCTAACCCCTTGTGCTCGTTCCTCGTCTAACCCCTTGTGCTCGTTCCTCGTCTAACCCCTTGTGCTCGTTCCTCGTCTAACCCCTTGTGCTCGTTCCTCGTCTAACCCCTTGTGCTCGTTCCTCGTCTAACCCCTTGTGCTCGTTCCTCGTCTAACCCCTTGTGCTCGTTCCTCGTCTAACCCCTTGTGCTCGTTCCTCGTCTAACCCCTTGTGCTCGTTCCTCGTCTAACCCCTTGTGCTCGTTCCTCGTCTAACCCCTTGTGCTCGTTCCTCGTCTAACCCCTTGTGCTCGTTCCTCGTCTAACCCCTTGTGCTCGTTCCTCGTCTAACCCCTTGTGCTCGTTCCTCGTCTAACCCCTTGTGCTCGTTCCTCGTCTAACCCCTTGTGCTCGTTCCTCGTCTAACCCCTTGTGCTCGTTCCTCGTCTAACCCCTTGTGCTCGTTCCTCGTCTAACCCCTTGTGCTCGTTCCTCGTCTAACCCCTTGTGCTCGTTCCTCGTCTAACCCCTTGTGCTCGTTCCTCGTCTAACCCCTTGTGCTCGTTCCTCGTCTAACCCCTTGTGCTCGTTCCTCGTCTAACCCCTTGTGCTCGTTCCTCGTCTAACCCCTTGTGCTCGTTCCTCGTCTAACCCCTTGTGCTCGTTCCTCGTCTAACCCCTTGTGCTCGTTCCTCGTCTAACCCCTTGTGCTCGTTCCTCGTCTAACCCCTTGTGCTCGTTCCTCGTCTAACCCCTTGTGCTCGTTCCTCGTCTAACCCCTTGTGCTCGTTCCTCGTCTAACCCCTTGTGCTCGTTCCTCGTCTAACCCCTTGTGCTCGTTCCTCGTCTAACCCCTTGTGCTCGTTCCTCGTCTAACCCCTTGTGCTCGTTCCTCGTCTAACCCCTTGTGCTCGTTCCTCGTCTAACCCCTTGTGCTCGTTCCTCGTCTAACCCCTTGTGCTCGTTCCTCGTCTAACCCCTTGTGCTCGTTCCTCGTCTAACCCCTTGTGCTCGTTCCTCGTCTAACCCCTTGTGCTCGTTCCTCGTCTAACCCCTTGTGCTCGTTCCTCGTCTAACCCCTTGTGCTCGTTCCTCGTCTAACCCCTTGTGCTCGTTCCTCGTCTAACCCCTTGTGCTCGTTCCTCGTCTAACCCCTTGTGCTCGTTCCTCGTCTAACCCCTTGTGCTCGTTCCTCGTCTAACCCCTTGTGCTCGTTCCTCGTCTAACCCCTTGTGCTCGTTCCTCGTCTAACCCCTTGTGCTCGTTCCTCGTCTAACCCCTTGTGCTCGTTCCTCGTCTAACCCCTTGTGCTCGTTCCTCGTCTAACCCCTTGTGCTCGTTCCTCGTCTAACCCCTTGTGCTCGTTCCTCGTCTAACCCCTTGTGCTCGTTCCTCGTCTAACCCCTTGTGCTCGTTCCTCGTCTAACCCCTTGTGCTCGTTCCTCGTCTAACCCCTTGTGCTCGTTCCTCGTCTAACCCCTTGTGCTCGTTCCTCGTCTAACCCCTTGTGCTCGTTCCTCGTCTAACCCCTTGTGCTCGTTCCTCGTCTAACCCCTTGTGCTCGTTCCTCGTCTAACCCCTTGTGCTCGTTCCTCGTCTAACCCCTTGTGCTCGTTCCTCGTCTAACCCCTTGTGCTCGTTCCTCGTCTAACCCCTTGTGCTCGTTCCTCGTCTAACCCCTTGTGCTCGTTCCTCGTCTAACCCCTTGTGCTCGTTCCTCGTCTAACCCCTTGTGCTCGTTCCTCGTCTAACCCCTTGTGCTCGTTCCTCGTCTAACCCCTTGTGCTCGTTCCTCGTCTAACCCCTTGTGCTCGTTCCTCGTCTAACCCCTTGTGCTCGTTCCTCGTCTAACCCCTTGTGCTCGTTCCTCGTCTAACCCCTTGTGCTCGTTCCTCGTCTAACCCCTTGTGCTCGTTCCTCGTCTAACCCCTTGTGCTCGTTCCTCGTCTAACCCCTTGTGCTCGTTCCTCGTCTAACCCCTTGTGCTCGTTCCTCGTCTAACCCCTTGTGCTCGTTCCTCGTCTAACCCCTTGTGCTCGTTCCTCGTCTAACCCCTTGTGCTCGTTCCTCGTCTAACCCCTTGTGCTCGTTCCTCGTCTAACCCCTTGTGCTCGTTCCTCGTCTAACCCCTTGTGCTCGTTCCTCGTCTAACCCCTTGTGCTCGTTCCTCGTCTAACCCCTTGTGCTCGTTCCTCGTCTAACCCCTTGTGCTCGTTCCTCGTCTAACCCCTTGTGCTCGTTCCTCGTCTAACCCCTTGTGCTCGTTCCTCGTCTAACCCCTTGTGCTCGTTCCTCGTCTAACCCCTTGTGCTCGTTCCTCGTCTAACCCCTTGTGCTCGTTCCTCGTCTAACCCCTTGTGCTCGTTCCTCGTCTAACCCCTTGTGCTCGTTCCTCGTCTAACCCCTTGTGCTCGTTCCTCGTCTAACCCCTTGTGCTCGTTCCTCGTCTAACCCCTTGTGCTCGTTCCTCGTCTAACCCCTTGTGCTCGTTCCTCGTCTAACCCCTTGTGCTCGTTCCTCGTCTAACCCCTTGTGCTCGTTCCTCGTCTAACCCCTTGTGCTCGTTCCTCGTCTAACCCCTTGTGCTCGTTCCGCTTGTGACAGATGGTGGCAAGCAGAGTCGCAGAGGAGATGGGGGTGGCCCTTGGGGAGAGAGTGGGGTACAGCATTCGCTTTGAGAATGTCACCACGCAGGTAACAGCCTGGCTGGCCTTGGCTTGACTCAAAGTGTCTGCGCTCCCTTGTCATACACTCAGCATTGTTGTATCCTGGCCACAACCAGAAACACCCCCTCCTGTGTCTCCACCTCTCCAGTGTCTCAAAGGTTCCGTCCGTCTCTCTCGCCCTCTACTGCCGTGCAATCCATGCAGCTCTGCCGTCCCCGTTTTTCCTCCAAAAGTAAGGGTGCCCACTTTATGCTTGTGCCCACTCCATGCTTGTGCCCACTCCATGCTTGTGCCCACTCCATGCTTGTGCCCACTAGAGAAATGTGACACATGTTCCTCTTCTCGTTGGTAACGCAGGGAGTGACGCAGATCAAGTTTCTCACAGATGGGGTGCTGCTGGTGTGGAATGGTGTGGTGTGGTGTGGCATGGTGCGGCATGGCGTTGGTAACGCAGGGTGTGACTCAGATCAAGTTCTCACAGACGGGGTTCAGTTTTGAGGCGCCTCAAAACTACACTTTCCACTTTGCGTTGGCTGTGCAGGGTGTGACTCAGATCAAGTTTCTCACAGATGGGGTGCTTCTGAGGGAGATGATGGAAGACCCGCTGCTCTCCAGATACAGGTTCGTATGGATTTGCGTGGTGAGGCATGGTGTGGCATGGTGTGGCATGGTAAGGCGCGTCGTGCAGGGCTGTGCAGGGTGCCCTCTTGGTGTGGTGCTGCTGAGGGTTTATGATGGAAGACCCGCTGCTCTCCAGATACAGGTTAGGCATGGTCACGCATGGTCACGCATGGTCACGCATGGTCACGCATGGTCACGCACGCATGGTCATGCATGGTCACGCATGGTCACGCATGGTCACGCATGGTCACGCACGCATGGTCATGCATGGTCACGCATGGTCACGCATGGTCACGCATGGTCACGCATGGTCACGCACGCATGGTCATGCATGGTCACGCATGCATGGTCACGCATGGTCACGCACGCATGGTCATGCATGGTCACGCATGGTCACGCATGGTCACGCATGGTCACGCATGGTCACGCATGGTCACGCATGGTCACGCATGGTCACGCACGCATGGTCATGCATGGTCACGCATGGTCACGCATGGTCACGCATGGTCACGCACGCATGGTCATGCATGGTCACGCATGCATGGTCACGCATGGTCACGCACGCATGGTCATGCATGGTCACGCATGGTCACGCATGGTCACGCATGGTCACGCATGGTCACGCATGGTCACGCATGGTCACGCATGGTCACGCATGGTCACGCATGGTCACGCATGGTCACGCATGGTCACGCATGGTCACGCATGGTCACGCATGGTCACGCACGCATGGTCATGCATGGTCACGCATGCATGGTCACGCATGGTCACGCACGCATGGTCATGCATGGTCACGCATGGTCACGCATGGTCACGCATGGTCACGCATGGTCACGCATGGTCACGCATGGTCACGCATGGTCGCGCATGCATGGTCACGCATGGTCACGCATGGTCACGCATGGTCACGCATGGTCACGCATGGTCACGCATGGTCAGTTGTATGACATGCCAGAGTGTCGATTGAGTGTACGTCATGTGAATATATTGCGTGCGATTATATTGCGGTGCTTTGCAGTGTGATCATGGTGGACGAGGCGCATGAGCGCAGCCTAGCAACGGATATCCTCCTGGGCCTCCTCAAGAAGGTGTGCTGGTGCTGTGTGCCATGGGATTGGATCATGGGATTGGATCATGCGTGTGGCTATATATATCCCGAGGGTGTTGCACTGTGGTCATGGTGGACGAGGCACATGAACGCAGCCTAGCAACGGATATCCTCCTGGGCCTCCTCAAGAAGGTGTGCTGGTGCTGTGTGCCATGGGATTGGATCATGGGATTGGATCGTGCGTGTGGCTATATATATCCCGAGGGTGTTGCAGGGTGATCATGGTGCACTGCATGAGCCCCCGCCCTGCCCCTTGACCCTCTTCCGCTGCCCCTCTTCCCCTTTCCCTCCCTTCCCCCTCTCCCCGTGCTTCCCCCGGTGCCTCTCCCCGTGCTTCCCCCCGTGCCTCTCCTCGTCCGTCCCCGCTTCTCCATCCATGCCCCAGGTGATGCGGCGGCGTCCTGACCTCCGATTGGTCATCTCATCTGCCACGCTGGCAGCTGATGACGTGGCAGCCTTCTTTGACACCAGGTGCATTGCGTCGCCCATGCTGACAGAGCGGCTAGTCAATCTTCGATTGATTCTGAGTTGACTTGTGAGTCAACTCAAAAGTCAAAGTCGTCGCCCACGCTGAGCGGCTAGTCAATCCTCTTCTGGCTCCTTTCTTCACCTCCCCTCTCTCACGCTCTCTCCTCCTTCCCCCTCGTTGCCTGCCCCCTCCCCTCACTCACTCCTTAACTGCTGACCGTGTTTTCACTTCACTCCCTTCACTGCACGTCACCCCTTTCCCCCGGCAACCTGTCTCACCGTCCCCCAGCAACGAGAAGCCAAAGTCTCTACTGGAAGGCTCTGCAACGATCAGATTACCTGCGGAGTTCTAGCCGCAAATTTTCCCCTCTTCCCGCTCACCCTGTCTCACCATTTTCCAGCAACGAGAAGCCAAAGTCTCTACCGGAAGGCTCTCAGCTTCAAGCCCTTCCCAGGCGCAAGCCAGCGATCATATCAGTGGAGGGGCGCAGCCACCCCGTGCAGCTGCTGTACCTCGAAGAACCCACCTCAGACTACCTGCAGACAGCACTTGACACTGTGCTCGCCATTCACTGCCAGGTGAGCCGCTTCTTCCACAGCACCTCTCTACTCACCACCCCGTGCAGCTGCTGTATCTGGAGGAACCCACATCGGACTACCTGCAGACAGCACTCGACACCGTGCTCGCCATTCACTGCCAGGTGAGCCCACCCCTCCTCCTCCCTCTTCCTCCCTCCGCCTCCCGTTGCGTCATCACCCTTGCAGGCACTATTCCTGGAAGCACCACCGTGGATTTCTCTTCTTCAGTGATGGCTTAGTGATCTTCCTGATAGTGATCTTCCTGATCACTAATGTCACTAAGTGCAATTCGACTGTCAATGCAAGATCAAACGTCCCTTTTTGTCTCCTGCTGCTCACCCTTTCAGGAGCCGCCAGGGGACATACTTGTGTTCTTAACGGGGCAAGAGGAGGTGGACACCCTGGTGCAGCTTATAGCGGAGCAGAGCAACAGCTATACTCCCTCCTCCGAGAAGCTAAGAGGTATGGCATCTGTATTTTGATGTCGGTGCACTGATAAAGTGTAAGTATGATGTGCTTTTGAGGCGCCTTTTTTAGTGTTTGACTCCTCGTCAGGACGTGACACTGTGCTTTGATTCTGTCTTCAGAGCAACACATTTATTTTGCTGCTGCTCTGAGAACAGGGCAGAAAATTAAGCATGTTCAGTTGCAGTTGTTTCATCCTTAGTACGGCAAAAACCAGCTCCGTCTCTTGCCACACTCACCTTCGTTCTGTCCTTTCCATTCTCAATTATTCTCACTCTCTTCCTCATCGCTCCTCCTCTCCTATCTTCCCTCTCATCCCTCAGTCTCTCTAATCTCATCGATTCTCTCTGCTTGTCTGCACCTCCCTCGATCATTCTTCAGGTCTCCAGGCGTTTCCCCTCTACGCCGGACTGCCAGCAGGTGACGTCGTAAGTCCTCTTCCCTCCCTTTCTCCAGAGGCCCTTGTGCTTGAGTCACACATGGGAGTGAGTCACATACAGGGAATTGGTTAAAGATAAAAGTGCCCTCGATTCCCATGCATGTCCCCTCCCCCTCCCCCCCCCCCCCACCCCCCCCCCCCCACACACACATGCGCGTGCACTCGAGCAATCATATTTGTTTGAGAATTCTCATAAGTGGAACATGTGCATGCGTTTGAGAATTCTCAAAAGTGGAACATGTGCATGCGTTTGAGAATTCTCAAAAGTGGAACATGTGCATGCGTTTGAGAATTCTCAAAAGTGGAACATGTGCATGCGTTTGAGAATTCTCAAAAGTGGAACATGTGCATGCGTTTGAGAATTCTCAAAAGTGGAACATGTGCATGCGTTTGAGAATTCTCGAAAGTGGAACGTGTACATGCGTTTGAGAATTCTCAAAAGTGGAACATGTGCATGCGTTTGAGAATTCTCAAAAGTGGAACATGTGCATGCGTTTGAGAATTCTCCCTCTTAACCCCTCCCACTCCAGAGCTGCAGATTCTCCTGCGTCTGGAGCTGCAGATTCTCCTGCGTCTGGAGCTGCAGATTCTCCTGCGTCTGGAGCTGCAGATTCTCCTGCGTCTGGAGCTGCAGATTCTCCTGCGCCTGGAGCTGCAGATTCTCCTGCGCCTGGAGCTGCAGATTCTCCTGCGTCTGGAGCTGCAGATTCTCCTGCGCCTGGAGCTGCAGATTCTCCTGCGCCTGGAGCTGCAGATTCTCCTGCGTCTGGAGCTGCAGATTCTCCTGCGTCTGGAGCTGCAGATTCTCCTGCGTCTGGAGCTGCAGATTCTCCTGCGTCTGGAGCTGCAGATTCTCCTGCGCCTGGAGCTGCAGATTCTCCTGCGCCTGGAGCTGCAGATTCTCCTGCGTCTGGAGCTGCAGATTCTCCTGCGTCTGGAGCTGCAGATTCTCCTGCGTCTGGAGCTGCAGATTCTCCTGCGTCTGGAGCTGCAGATTCTCCTGCGCCTGGAGCTGCAGATTCTCCTGCGTCTGGAGCTGCAGATTCTCCTGCGCCTGGAGCTGCAGATTCTCCTGCGCCTGGAGCTGCAGATTCTCCTGCGTCTGGAGCTGCAGATTCTCCTGCGTCTGGAGCTGCAGATTCTCCTGCGTCTGGAGCTGCAGATTCTCCTGCGCCTGGAGCTGCAGATTCTCCTGCGTCTGGAGCTGCAGATTCTCCTGCGTCTGGAGCTGCAGATTCTCCTGCGTCTGGAGCTGCAGATTCTCCTGCGCCTGGAGCTGCAGATTCTCCTGCGTCTGGAGCTGCAGATTCTCCTGCGTCTGGAGCTGCAGATTCTCCTGCGTCTGGAGCTGCAGATTCTCCTGCGTCTGGAGCTGCAGATTCTCCTGCGTCTGGAGCTGCAGATTCTCCTGCGCCTGGAGCTGCAGATTCTCCTGCGCCTGGAGCTGCAGATTCTCCTGCGCCTGGAGCTGCAGATTCTCCTGCGCCTGGAGCTGCAGATTCTCCTGCGTCTGGAGCTGCAGATTCTCCTGCGTCTGGAGCTGCAGATTCTCCTGCGCCTGGAGCTGCAGATTCTCCTGCGCCTGGAGCTGCAGATTCTCCTGCGTCTGGAGCTGCAGATTCTCCTGCGCCTGGAGCTGCAGATTCTCCTGCGCCTGGAGCTGCAGATTCTCCTGCGTCTGGAGCTGCAGATTCTCCTGCGTCTGGAGCTGCAGATTCTCCTGCGTCTGGAGCTGCAGATTCTCCTGCGTCTGGAGCTGCAGATTCTCCTGCGCCTGGAGCTGCAGATTCTCCTGCGCCTGGAGCTGCAGATTCTCCTGCGTCTGGAGCTGCAGATTCTCCTGCGTCTGGAGCTGCAGATTCTCCTGCGTCTGGAGCTGCAGATTCTCCTGCGTCTGGAGCTGCAGATTCTCCTGCGTCTGGAGCTGCAGATTCTCCTGCGTCTGGAGCTGCAGATTCTCCTGCGTCTGGAGCTGCAGATTCTCCTGCGTCTGGAGCTGCAGATTCTCCTGCGTCTGGAGCTGCAGATTCTCCTGCGTCTGGAGCTGCAGATTCTCCTGCGTCTGGAGCTGCAGATTCTCCTGCGCCTGGAGCTGCAGATTCTCCTGCGTCTGGAGCTGCAGATTCTCCTGCGCCTGGAGCTGCAGATTCTCCTGCGCCTGAAGCTGGAGATTCTCCTGCGTCTGGAGCTGCAGATTCTCCTGCGTCTGGAGCTGCAGATTCTCCTGCGTCTGGAGCTGCAGATTCTCCTGCGCCTGGAGCTGCAGATTCTCCTGCGCCTGGAGCTGCAGATTCTCCTGCGTCTGGAGCTGCAGATTCTCCTGCGTCTGGAGCTGCAGATTCTCCTGCGCCTGGAGCTGCAGATTCTCCTGCGCCTGGAGCTGCAGATTCTCCTGCGTCTGGAGCTGCAGATTCTCCTGCGTCTGGAGCTGCAGATTCTCCTGCGTCTGGAGCTGCAGATTCTCCTGCGTCTGGAGCTGCAGATTCTCCTGCGTCTGGAGCTGCAGATTCTCCTGCGTCTGGAGCTGCAGATTCTCCTGCGTCTGGAGCTGCAGATTCTCCTGCGCCTGGAGCTGCAGATTCTCCTGCGCCTGGAGCTGCAGATTCTCCTGCGTCTGGAGCTGCAGATTCTCCTGCGTCTGGAGCTGCAGATTCTCCTGCGTCTGGAGCTGCAGATTCTCCTGCGTCTGGAGCTGCAGATTCTCCTGCGTCTGGAGCTGCAGATTCTCCTGCGCCTGGAGCTGCAGATTCTCCTGCGTCTGGAGCTGCAGATTCTCCTGCGCCTGGAGCTGCAGATTCTCCTGCGCCTGGAGCTGCAGATTCTCCTGCGTCTGGAGCTGCAGATTCTCCTGCGTCTGGAGCTGCAGATTCTCCTGCGTCTGGAGCTGCAGATTCTCCTGCGTCTGGAGCTGCAGATTCTCCTGCGTCTGGAGCTGCAGATTCTCCTGCGTCTGGAGCTGCAGATTCTCCTGCGTCTGGAGCTGCAGATTCTCCTGCGTCTGGAGCTGCAGATTCTCCTGCGTCTGGAGCTGCAGATTCTCCTGCGCCTGGAGCTGCAGATTCTCCTGCGTCTGGAGCTGCAGATTCTCCTGCGTCTGGAGCTGCAGATTCTCCTGCGTCTGGAGCTGCAGATTCTCCTGCGTCTGGAGCTGCAGATTCTCCTGCGTCTGGAGCTGCAGATTCTCCTGCGTCTGGAGCTGCAGATTCTCCTGCGCCTGGAGCTGCAGATTCTCCTGCGTCTGGAGCTGCAGATTCTCCTGCGTCTGGAGCTGCAGATTCTCCTGCGTCTGGAGCTGCAGATTCTCCTGCGTCTGGAGCTGCAGATTCTCCTGCGTCTGGAGCTGCAGATTCTCCTGCGCCTGGAGCTGCAGATTCTCCTGCGTCTGGAGCTGCAGATTCTCCTGCGTCTGGAGCTGCAGATTCTCCTGCGTCTGGAGCTGCAGATTCTCCTGCGCCTGGAGCTGCAGATTCTCCTGCGTCTGGAGCTGCAGATTCTCCTGCGTCTGGAGCTGCAGATTCTCCTGCGCCTGGAGCTGCAGATTCTCCTGCGTCTGGAGCTGCAGATTCTCCTGCGCCTGGAGCTGCAGATTCTCCTGCGTCTGGAGCTGCAGATTCTCCTGCGTCTGGAGCTGCAGATTCTCCTGCGTCTGGAGCTGCAGATTCTCCTGCGCCTGGAGCTGCAGATTCTCCTGCGTCTGGAGCTGCAGATTCTCCTGCGTCTGGAGCTGCAGATTCTCCTGCGTCTGGAGCTGCAGATTCTCCTGCGTCTGGAGCTGCAGATTCTCCTGCGCCTGGAGCTGCAGATTCTCCTGCGTCTGGAGCTGCAGATTCTCCTGCGTCTGGAGCTGCAGATTCTCCTGCGTCTGGAGCTGCAGATTCTCCTGCGTCTGGAGCTGCAGATTCTCCTGCGTCTGGAGCTGCAGATTCTCCTGCGCCTGGAGCTGCAGATTCTCCTGCGTCTGGAGCTGCAGATTCTCCTGCGTCTGGAGCTGCAGATTCTCCTGCGCCTGGAGCTGCAGATTCTCCTGCGTCTGGAGCTGCAGATTCTCCTGCGCCTGGAGCTGCAGATTCTCCTGCGTCTGGAGCTGCAGATTCTCCTGCGCCTGGAGCTGCAGATTCTCCTGCGTCTGGAGCTGCAGATTCTCCTGCGTCTGGAGCTGCAGATGAATCTGCGTCTGGAGCTGCAGATTCTCCTGCGCCTGGAGCTGCAGATTCTCCTGCGTCTGGAGCTGCAGATTCTCCTGCGTCTGGAGCTGCAGATTCTCCTGCGCCTGGAGCTGCAGATTTTCCTGCGTCTGGAGCTGCAGATTCTCCTGCGCCTGGAGCTGCAGATTCTCCTGCGCCTGGAGCTGCAGATTCTCCTGCGCCTGGAGCTGCAGATTCTCCTGCGCCTGGAGCTGCAGATTCTCCTGCGTCTGGAGCTGCAGATTCTCCTGCGCCTGGAGCTGCAGATTCTCCTGCGTCTGGAGCTGCAGATTCTCCTGCGTCTGGAGCTGCAGATTCTCCTGCGTCTGGAGCTGCAGATTCTCCTGCGCCTGGAGCTGCAGATTCTCCTGCGTCTGGAGCTGCAGATTCTCCTGCGTCTGGAGCTGCAGATTCTCCTGCGCCTGGAGCTGCAGATTCTCCTGCGTCTGGAGCTGCAGATTCTCCTGCGCCTGGAGCTGCAGATTCTCCTGCGTCTGGAGCTGCAGATTCTCCTGCGTCTGGAGCTGCAGATTCTCCTGCGTCTGGAGCTGCAGATTCTCCTGCGCCTGGAGCTGCAGATTCTCCTGCGTCTGGAGCTGCAGATTCTCCTGCGTCTGGAGCTGCAGATTCTCCTGCGTCTGGAGCTGCAGATTCTCCTGCGTCTGGAGCTGCAGATTCTCCTGCGCCTGGAGCTGCAGATTCTCCTGCGTCTGGAGCTGCAGATTCTCCTGCGTCTGGAGCTGCAGATTCTCCTGCGCCTGGAGCTGCAGATTCTCCTGCGTCTGGAGCTGCAGATTCTCCTGCGCCTGGAGCTGCAGATTCTCCTGCGTCTGGAGCTGCAGATTCTCCTGCGTCTGGAGCTGCAGATTCTCCTGCGTCTGGAGCTGCAGATTCTCCTGCGCCTGGAGCTGCAGATTCTCCTGCGTCTGGAGCTGCAGATTCTCCTGCGTCTGGAGCTGCAGATTCTCCTGCGCCTGGAGCTGCAGATTCTCCTGCGTCTGGAGCTGCAGATTCTCCTGCGTCTGGAGCTGCAGATTCTCCTGCGCCTGGAGCTGCAGATTCTCCTGCGTCTGGAGCTGCAGATTCTCCTGCGCCTGGAGCTGCAGATTCTCCTGCGTCTGGAGCTGCAGATTCTCCTGCGTCTGGAGCTGCAGATTCTCCTGCGTCTGGAGCTGCAGATTCTCCTGCGCCTGGAGCTGCAGATTCTCCTGCGTCTGGAGCTGCAGATTCTCCTGCGTCTGGAGCTGCAGATTCTCCTGCGCCTGGAGCTGCAGATTCTCCTGCGTCTGGAGCTGCAGATTCTCCTGCGCCTGGAGCTGCAGATTCTCCTGCGTCTGGAGCTGCAGATTCTCCTGCGCCTGGAGCTGCAGATTCTCCTGCGTCTGGAGCTGCAGATTCTCCTGCGTCTGGAGCTGCAGATGAATCTGCGTCTGGAGCTGCAGATTCTCCTGCGCCTGGAGCTGCAGATTCTCCTGCGTCTGGAGCTGCAGATTCTCCTGCGTCTGGAGCTGCAGATTCTCCTGCGCCTGGAGCTGCAGATTTTCCTGCGTCTGGAGCTGCAGATTCTCCTGCGCCTGGAGCTGCAGATTCTCCTGCGCCTGGAGCTGCAGATTCTCCTGCGCCTGGAGCTGCAGATTCTCCTGCGCCTGGAGCTGCAGATTCTCCTGCGCCTGGAGCTGCAGATTCTCCTGCGTCTGGAGCTGCAGATTCTCCTGCGTCTGGAGCTGCAGATTCTCCTGCGCCTGGAGCTGCAGATTCTCCTGCGTCTGGAGCTGCAGATTCTCCTGCGTCTGGAGCTGCAGATTCTCCTGCGTCTGGAGCTGCAGATTCTCCTGCGCCTGGAGCTGCAGATTCTCCTGCGCCTGGAGCTGCAGATTCTCCTGCGTCTGGAGCTGCAGATTCTCCTGCGCCTGGAGCTGCAGATTCTCCTGCGCCTGGAGCTGCAGATTCTCCTGCGCCTGGAGCTGCAGATTCTCCTGCGTCTGGAGCTGCAGATTCTCCTGCGTCTGGAGCTGCAGATTCTCCTGCGCCTGGAGCTGCAGATTCTCCTGCGTCTGGAGCTGCAGATTCTCCTGCGTCTGGAGCTGCAGATTCTCCTGCGCCTGGAGCTGCAGATTCTCCTGCGTCTGGAGCTGCAGATTCTCCTGCGTCTGGAGCTGCAGATTCTCCTGCGCCTGGAGCTGCAGATTCTCCTGCGCCTGGAGCTGCAGATTCTCCTGCGTCTGGAGCTGCAGATTCTCCTGCGTCTGGAGCTGCAGATTCTCCTGCGTCTGGAGCTGCAGATTCTCCTGCGTCTGGAGCTGCAGATTCTCCTGCGTCTGGAGCTGCAGATTCTCCTGCGCCTGGAGCTGCAGATTCTCCTGCGTCTGGAGCTGCAGATTCTCCTGCGTCTGGAGCTGCAGATTCTCCTGCGCCTGGAGCTGCAGATTCTCCTGCGTCTGGAGCTGCAGATTCTCCTGCGCCTGGAGCTGCAGATTCTCCTGCGTCTGGAGCTGCAGATTCTCCTGCGTCTGGAGCTGCAGATGAATCTGCGTCTGGAGCTGCAGATTCTCCTGCGCCTGGAGCTGCAGATTCTCCTGCGCCTGGAGCTGCAGATTCTCCTGCGTCTGGAGCTGCAGATTCTCCTGCGTCTGGAGCTGCAGATTCTCCTGCGTCTGGAGCTGCAGATTCTCCTGCGCCTGGAGCTGCAGATTCTCCTGCGCCTGGAGCTGCAGATTCTCCTGCGTCTGGAGCTGCAGATTCTCCTGCGTCTGGAGCTGCAGATTCTCCTGCGTCTGGAGCTGCAGATTCTCCTGCGTCTGGAGCTGCAGATTCTCCTGCGTCTGGAGCTGCAGATTCTCCTGCGTCTGGAGCTGCAGATTCTCCTGCGTCTGGAGCTGCAGATTCTCCTGCGCCTGGAGCTGCAGATTCTCCTGCGTCTGGAGCTGCAGATTCTCCTGCGTCTGGAGCTGCAGATTCTCCTGCGTCTGGAGCTGCAGATTCTCCTGCGTCTGGAGCTGCAGATTCTCCTGCGTCTGGAGCTGCAGATTCTCCTGCGTCTGGAGCTGCAGATTCTCCTGCGTCTGGAGCTGCAGATTCTCCTGCGCCTGGAGCTGCAGATTCTCCTGCGTCTGGAGCTGCAGATTCTCCTGCGCCTGGAGCTGCAGATTCTCCTGCGTCTGGAGCTGCAGATTCTCCTGCGTCTGGAGCTGCAGATGAATCTGCGTCTGGAGCTGCAGATTCTCCTGCGCCTGGAGCTGCAGATTCTCCTGCGTCTGGAGCTGCAGATTCTCCTGCGTCTGGAGCTGCAGATTCTCCTGCGCCTGGAGCTGCAGATTTTCCTGCGTCTGGAGCTGCAGATTCTCCTGCGCCTGGAGCTGCAGATTCTCCTGCGCCTGGAGCTGCAGATTCTCCTGCGCCTGGAGCTGCAGATTCTCCTGCGCCTGGAGCTGCAGATTCTCCTGCGTCTGGAGCTGCAGATTCTCCTGCGTCTGGAGCTGCAGATTCTCCTGCGCCTGGAGCTGCAGATTCTCCTGCGTCTGGAGCTGCAGATTCTCCTGCGTCTGGAGCTGCAGATTCTCCTGCGCCTGGAGCTGCAGATTCTCCTGCGCCTGGAGCTGCAGATTCTCCTGCGTCTGGAGCTGCAGATTCTCCTGCGTCTGGAGCTGCAGATTCTCCTGCGTCTGGAGCTGCAGATTCTCCTGCGCCTGGAGCTGCAGATTCTCCTGCGTCTGGAGCTGCAGATTCTCCTGCGCCTGGAGCTGCAGATTCTCCTGCGTCTGGAGCTGCAGATTCTCCTGCGCCTGGAGCTGCAGATTCTCCTGCGCCTGGAGCTGCAGATTCTCCTGCGTCTGGAGCTGCAGATTCTCCTGCGCCTGGAGCTGCAGATTCTCCTGCGTCTGGAGCTGCAGATTCTCCTGCGTCTGGAGCTGCAGATTCTCCTGCGTCTGGAGCTGCAGATTCTCCTGCGTCTGGAGCTGCAGATTCTCCTGCGCCTGGAGCTGCAGATTCTCCTGCGTCTGGAGCTGCAGATTCTCCTGCGTCTGGAGCTGCAGATTCTCCTGCGCCTGGAGCTGCAGATTCTCCTGCGCCTGGAGCTGCAGATTCTCCTGCGTCTGGAGCTGCAGATTCTCCTGCGTCTGGAGCTGCAGATTCTCCTGCGTCTGGAGCTGCAGATTCTCCTGCGCCTGGAGCTGCAGATTCTCCTGCGCCTGGAGCTGCAGATTCTCCTGCGTCTGGAGCTGCAGATTCTCCTGCGCCTGGAGCTGCAGATTCTCCTGCGTCTGGAGCTGCAGATTCTCCTGCGTCTGGAGCTGCAGATTCTCCTGCGTCTGGAGCTGCAGATTCTCCCGCGTCTGGAGCTGCAGATTCTCCCGCGTCTGGAGCTGCAGATTCTCCCGCGTCTGGAGCTGCAGATTCTCCCGCGTCTGGAGCTGCAGATTCTCCTGCGTCTGGAGCTGCAGATGAATCTGCGTCTGGAGCTGCAGATTCTCCTGCGCCTGGAGCTGCAGATTCTCCTGCGTCTGGAGCTGCAGATTCTCCTGCGTCTGGAGCTGCAGATTCTCCTGCGCCTGGAGCTGCAGATTTTCCTGCGTCTGGAGCTGCAGATTCTCCTGCGCCTGGAGCTGCAGATTCTCCTGCGCCTGGAGCTGCAGATTCTCCTGCGCCTGGAGCTGCAGATTCTCCTGCGCCTGGAGCTGCAGATTCTCCTGCGTCTGGAGCTGCAGATTCTCCTGCGTCTGGAGCTGCAGATTCTCCTGCGCCTGGAGCTGCAGATTCTCCTGCGTCTGGAGCTGCAGATTCTCCTGCGTCTGGAGCTGCAGATTCTCCTGCGTCTGGAGCTGCAGATTCTCCTGCGTCTGGAGCTGCAGATTCTCCTGCGCCTGGAGCTGCAGATTCTCCTGCGCCTGGAGCTGCAGATTCTCCTGCGTCTGGAGCTGCAGATTCTCCTGCGCCTGGAGCTGCAGATTCTCCTGCGCCTGGAGCTGCAGATTCTCCTGCGCCTGGAGCTGCAGATTCTCCTGCGTCTGGAGCTGCAGATTCTCCTGCGTCTGGAGCTGCAGATTCTCCTGCGCCTGGAGCTGCAGATTCTCCTGCGTCTGGAGCTGCAGATTCTCCTGCGTCTGGAGCTGCAGATTCTCCTGCGTCTGGAGCTGCAGATTCTCCTGCGCCTGGAGCTGCAGATTCTCCTGCGCCTGGAGCTGCAGATTCTCCTGCGTCTGGAGCTGCAGATTCTCCTGCGTCTGGAGCTGCAGATTCTCCTGCGCCTGGAGCTGCAGATTCTCCTGCGCCTGGAGCTGCAGATTCTCCTGCGTCTGGAGCTGCAGATTCTCCTGCGTCTGGAGCTGCAGATTCTCCTGCGTCTGGAGCTGCAGATTCTCCTGCGCCTGGAGCTGCAGATTCTCCTGCGTCTGGAGCTGCAGATTCTCCTGCGCCTGGAGCTGCAGATTCTCCTGCGTCTGGAGCTGCAGATTCTCCTGCGCCTGGAGCTGCAGATTCTCCTGCGCCTGGAGCTGCAGATTCTCCTGCGTCTGGAGCTGCAGATTCTCCTGCGCCTGGAGCTGCAGATTCTCCTGCGTCTGGAGCTGCAGATTCTCCTGCGCCTGGAGCTGCAGATTCTCCTGCGTCTGGAGCTGCAGATTCTCCTGCGTCTGGAGCTGCAGATTCTCCTGCGCCTGGAGCTGCAGATTCTCCTGCGTCTGGAGCTGCAGATTCTCCTGCGTCTGGAGCTGCAGATTCTCCTGCGTCTGGAGCTGCAGATTCTCCCGCGTCTGGAGCTGCAGATTCTCCCGCGTCTGGAGCTGCAGATTCTCCCGCGTCTGGAGCTGCAGATTCTCCTGCGTCTGGAGCTGCAGATTCTCCTGCGTCTGGAGCTGCAGATTCTCCTGCGCCTGGAGCTGCAGATTCTCCTGCGTCTGGAGCTGCAGATTCTCCTGCGTCTGGAGCTGCAGATTCTCCTGCGTCTGGAGCTGCAGATTCTCCTGCGCCTGGAGCTGCAGATTCTCCTGCGTCTGGAGCTGCAGATTCTCCTGCGTCTGGAGCTGCAGATTCTCCTGCGTCTGGAGCTGCAGATTCTCCTGCGTCTGGAGCTGCAGATTCTCCTGCGCCTGGAGCTGCAGATTCTCCTGCGCCTGGAGCTGCAGATTCTCCTGCGTCTGGAGCTGCAGATTCTCCTGCGTCTGGAGCTGCAGATTCTCCTGCGTCTGGAGCTGCAGATTCTCCTGCGCCTGGAGCTGCAGATTCTCCTGCGTCTGGAGCTGCAGATTCTCCTGCGTCTGGAGCTGCAGATTCTCCTGCGCCTGGAGCTGCAGATTCTCCTGCGTCTGGAGCTGCAGATTCTCCTGCGTCTGGAGCTGCAGATTCTCCTGCGTCTGGAGCTGCAGATTCTCCTGCGTCTGGAGCTGCAGATTCTCCTGCGCCTGGAGCTGCAGATTCTCCTGCGCCTGGAGCTGCAGATTCTCCTGCGTCTGGAGCTGCAGATTCTCCTGCGTCTGGAGCTGCAGATTCTCCTGCGTCTGGAGCTGCAGATTCTCCTGCGCCTGGAGCTGCAGATTCTCCTGCGTCTGGAGCTGCAGATTCTCCTGCGTCTGGAGCTGCAGATTCTCCTGCGCCTGGAGCTGCAGATTCTCCTGCGTCTGGAGCTGCAGATTCTCCTGCGCCTGGAGCTGCAGATTCTCCTGCGTCTGGAGCTGCAGATTCTCCTGCGTCTGGAGCTGCAGATTCTCCTGCGTCTGGAGCTGCAGATTCTCCTGCGTCTGGAGCTGCAGATTCTCCTGCGCCTGGAGCTGCAGATTCTCCTGCGTCTGGAGCTGCAGATTCTCCTGCGTCTGGAGCTGCAGATTCTCCTGCGCCTGGAGCTGCAGATTCTCCTGCGCCTGGAGCTGCAGATTCTCCTGCGTCTGGAGCTGCAGATTCTCCTGCGTCTGGAGCTGCAGATTCTCCTGCGTCTGGAGCTGCAGATTCTCCTGCGCCTGGAGCTGCAGATTCTCCTGCGCCTGGAGCTGCAGATTCTCCTGCGTCTGGAGCTGCAGATTCTCCTGCGCCTGGAGCTGCAGATTCTCCTGCGTCTGGAGCTGCAGATTCTCCTGCGTCTGGAGCTGCAGATTCTCCTGCGTCTGGAGCTGCAGATTCTCCCGCGTCTGGAGCTGCAGATTCTCCCGCGTCTGGAGCTGCAGATTCTCCCGCGTCTGGAGCTGCAGATTCTCCCGCGTCTGGAGCTGCAGATTCTCCTGCGTCTGGAGCTGCAGATTCTCCTGCGTCTGGAGCTGCAGATTCTCCTGCGCCTGGAGCTGCAGATTCTCCTGCGCCTGGAGCTGCAGATTCTCCTGCGCCTGGAGCTGCAGATTCTCCTGCGTCTGGAGCTGCAGATTCTCCTGCGTCTGGAGCTGCAGATTCTCCTGCGTCTGGAGCTGCAGATTCTCCTGCGCCTGGAGCTGCAGATTCTCCTGCGCCTGGAGCTGCAGATTCTCCTGCGCCTGGAGCTGCAGATTCTCCTGCGCCTGGAGCTGCAGATTCTCCTGCGTCTGGAGCTGCAGATTCTCCTGCGCCTGGAGCTGCAGATTCTCCTGCGCCTGGAGCTGCAGATTCTCCTGCGCCTGGAGCTGCAGATTCTCCTGCGTCTGGAGCTGCAGATTCTCCTGCGTCTGGAGCTGCAGATTCTCCTGCGCCTGGAGCTGCAGATTCTCCTGCGTCTGGAGCTGCAGATTCTCCTGCGTCTGGAGCTGCAGATTCTCCTGCGCCTGGAGCTGCAGATTCTCCTGCGTCTGGAGCTGCAGATTCTCCTGCGTCTGGAGCTGCAGATTCTCCTGCGTCTGGAGCTGCAGATTCTCCTGCGCCTGGAGCTGCAGATTCTCCTGCGTCTGGAGCTGCAGATTCTCCTGCGTCTGGAGCTGCAGATTCTCCTGCGTCTGGAGCTGCAGATTCTCCTGCGTCTGGAGCTGCAGATTCTCCTGCGCCTGGAGCTGCAGATTCTCCTGCGCCTGGAGCTGCAGATTCTCCTGCGTCTGGAGCTGCAGATTCTCCTGCGTCTGGAGCTGCAGATTCTCCTGCGCCTGGAGCTGCAGATTCTCCTGCGTCTGGAGCTGCAGATTCTCCTGCGTCTGGAGCTGCAGATTCTCCTGCGTCTGGAGCTGCAGATTCTCCTGCGTCTGGAGCTGCAGATTCTCCTGCGTCTGGAGCTGCAGATTCTCCTGCGTCTGGAGCTGCAGATTCTCCTGCGTCTGGAGCTGCAGATTCTCCTGCGTCTGGAGCTGCAGATTCTCCTGCGCCTGGAGCTGCAGATTCTCCTGCGCCTGGAGCTGCAGATTCTCCTGCGTCTGGAGCTGCAGATTCTCCTGCGTCTGGAGCTGCAGATTCTCCTGCGTCTGGAGCTGCAGATTCTCCTGCGTCTGGAGCTGCAGATTCTCCTGCGTCTGGAGCTGCAGATTCTCCTGCGTCTGGAGCTGCAGATTCTCCTGCGCCTGGAGCTGCAGATTCTCCTGCGCCTGGAGCTGCAGATTCTCCTGCGTCTGGAGCTGCAGATTCTCCTGCGTCTGGAGCTGCAGATTCTCCTGCGTCTGGAGCTGCAGATTCTCCCGCGTCTGGAGCTGCAGATTCTCCCGCGTCTGGAGCTGCAGATTCTCCCGCGTCTGGAGCTGCAGATTCTCCTGCGTCTGGAGCTGCAGATTCTCCTGCGTCTGGAGCTGCAGATTCTCCTGCGTCTGGAGCTGCAGATTCTCCTGCGTCTGGAGCTGCAGATTCTCCTGCGCCTGGAGCTGCAGATTCTCCTGCGCCTGGAGCTGCAGATTCTCCTGCGTCTGGAGCTGCAGATTCTCCTGCGTCTGGAGCTGCAGATTCTCCTGCGCCTGGAGCTGCAGATTCTCCTGCGCCTGGAGCTGCAGATTCTCCTGCGTCTGGAGCTGCAGATTCTCCTGCGTCTGGAGCTGCAGATTCTCCTGCGCCTGGAGCTGCAGATTCTCCTGCGCCTGGAGCTGCAGATTCTCCTGCGTCTGGAGCTGCAGATTCTCCTGCGTCTGGAGCTGCAGATTCTCCTGCGCCTGGAGCTGCAGATTCTCCTGCGCCTGGAGCTGCAGATTCTCCTGCGTCTGGAGCTGCAGATTCTCCTGCGTCTGGAGCTGCAGATTCTCCTGCGCCTGGAGCTGCAGATTCTCCTGCGTCTGGAGCTGCAGATTCTCCTGCGTCTGGAGCTGCAGATTCTCCTGCGTCTGGAGCTGCAGATTCTCCTGCGCCTGGAGCTGCAGATTCTCCTGCGCCTGGAGCTGCAGATTCTCCTGCGTCTGGAGCTGCAGATTCTCCCGCGTCTGGAGCTGCAGATTCTCCCGCGTCTGGAGCTGCAGATTCTCCCGCGTCTGGAGCTGCAGATTCTCCTGCGTCTGGAGCTGCAGATTCTCGCCACCATCACCAACACGACAGGAGGCAGCATTTGCTGAAACGAGTTTTGAGTCGACTCAAAACCTTTTCCCTCCTGTCCTCTCTCCCCCCTTTCCTCCGCACCACCACCACCACGACAGGAGGCTGCATTCGCGCCCACCCTGCGGGGGCGGAGGAAGGTGCTGGTGGCAACCAACATTGCAGAGACGTCTCTCACCATCGAGGTGCGTGGGACTTCCCTAATAACCTCTCTGCCGTTGAGGTGCCATGGCGTCCATGGCATGTCCCTCCATGCACCCCTGCTCATGCCATGCCCTCCATGCACCCCTGCTCATGCCATGCCCTCCATGCACCCCTGCTCATGCCATGCCCTCCATGCACCCCTGCTCATGCCATGCCCTCCATGCACCCCTGCTCATGCCATGCCCTCCATGCACCCCTGCTCATGCCATGCCCTCCATGCACCCCTGCTCATGCCATGCCCTCCATGCACCCCTGCTCATGCCATGCCCTCCATGCACCCCTGCTCATGCCATGCCCTCCATGCACCCCTGCTCATGCCATGCCCTCCATGCACCCCTGCTCATGCCATGCCCTCCATGCACCCCTGCTCATGCCATGCCCTCCATGCACCCCTGCTCATGCCATGCCCTCCATGCACCCCTGCTCATGCCATGCCCTCCATGCACCCCTGCTCATGCCATGCCCTCCATGCACCCCTGCTCATACCATGCCCTCCATGCACCCCTGCTCATGCCATGCCCTCCATGCACCCCTGCTCATGCCATGCCCTCCATGCACCCCTGCTCATGCCATGCCCTCCATGCACCCCTGCTCATGCCATGCCCTCCATGCACCCCTGCTCATGCCATGCCCTCCATGCACCCCTGCTCATGCCATGCCCTCCATGCACCCCTGCTCATGCCATGCCCTCCATGCACCCCTGCTCATGCCATGCCCTCCATGCACCCCTGCTCATGCCATGCCCTCCATGCACCCCTGCTCATGCCATGCCCTCCATGCACCCCTGCTCATGCCATGCCCTCCATGCACCCCTGCTCATGCCATGCCCTCCATGCACCCCTGCTCATGCCATGCCCTCCATGCACCCCTGCTCATGCCATGCCCTCCATGCACCCCTGCTCATGCCATGCCCTCCATGCACCCCTGCTCATGCCATGCCCTCCATGCACCCCTGCTCATGCCATGCCCTCCATGCACCCTGCTCATGCCATGCCCTCCATGCACCCCTGCTCATGCCATGCCCTCCATGCACCCCTGCTCATGCCATGCCCTCCATGCACCCCTGCTCATGCCATGCCCTCCATGCACCCCTGCTCATGCCATGCCCTCCATGCACCCTGCTCATGCCATGCCCTCCATGCACCCCTGCTCATGCCATGCCCTCCATGCACCCCTGCTCATGCCATGCCCTCCATGCACCCCTGCTCATGCCATGCCCTCCATGCACCCCTGCTCATGCCATGCCCTCCATGTACCCTGCTCATGCCATGCCCTCCATGCACCCCTGCTCATGCCATGCCCTCCATGCACCCCTGCTCATGCCATGCCCTCCATGCACCCCTGCTCATGCCATGCCCTCCATGCACCCCTGCTCATGCCATGCCCTCCATGCACCCCTGCTCATGCCATGCCCTCCATGCACCCCTGCTCATGCCATGCCCTCCATGCACCCCTGCTCATGCCATGCCCTCCATGCACCCCTGCTCATGCCATGCCCTCCATGCACCCCTGCTCATGCCATGCCCTCCATGCACCCCTGCTCATGCCATGCCCTCCATGCACCCCTGCTCATGCCATGCCCTCCATGCACCCCTGCTCATGCCATGCCCTCCATGCACCCCTGCTCATGCCATGCCCTCCATGCACCCCTGCTCATGCCATGCCCTCCATGCACCCCTGCTCATGCCATGCCCTCCATGCACCCCTGCTCATGCCATGCCCTCCATGCACCCCTGCTCATGCCATGCCCTCCATGCACCCCTGCTCATGCCATGCCCTCCATGCACCCCTGCTCATGCCATGCCCTCCATGCACCCCTGCTCATGCCATGCCCTCCATGCACCCCTGCTCATGCCATGCCCTCCATGCACCCCTGCTCATGCCATGCCCTCCATGCACCCCTGCTCATGCCATGCCCTCCATGCACCCCTGCTCATGCCATGCCCTCCATGCACCCCTGCTCATGCCATGCCCTCCATGCACCCCTGCTCATGCCATGCCCTCCATGCACCCCTGCTCATGCCATGCCCTCCATGCACCCCTGCTCATGCCATGCCCTCCATGCACCCCTGCTCATGCCATGCCCTCCATGCACCCCTGCTCATGCCATGCCCTCCATGCACACCTGCTCATGCCATGCCCTCCATGCACCCCTGCTCATGCCATGCCCTCCATGCACCCCTGCTCATGCCATGCCCTCCATGCACCCCTGCTCATGCCATGCCCTCCATGCACCCCTGCTCATGCCATGCCCTCCATGCACCCCTGCTCATGCCATGCCCTCCATGCACCCCTGCTCATGCCATGCCCTCTCTCCCTCAAGGCTGCTTGTATGTTTGTCGTACCGATTGTGGCTTATGGATGGCTCTGCTCCTCTCCCCCCTGCAGGGCATAGTATACGTGGTTGACTGTGGCTTATGAAGTAACCGCGTGTTCTCCCCCCCCCCCCACGCTCCTCTTCCTCCCTCCCTCTCTCTCTGCTCCTCTCCCCCTGCAGGGCATAGTGTACGTGGTTGACAGCGGCTTTGTCAAGCAGCGGTTCTTCGACCCTGTAAGTGCTCCTCCCGTCCAATATTCTAGCCTTCCTCTTATGCTGGTTCCCAACCCCCTTTGAACTGGCCCCAGTTCCCAACCCCCTGTTAACCCGCCCCAGTTCCCAACCCCCTGTTAACCCGCCCCAGTTCCCAACCCCCCTGTTAACCCCCGCCCCAGTTCCCAACCCCCTGTTAACCCGCCCCAGTTCCCCAACCCCTGTTAACCCGCCCCAGTTCCCAACCCCCTGTTAACCCGCCCCAGTTCCCAACCCCTGTTAACCCGCCCCAGTTCCCAACCCTTTGTTAACCCGCCCCAGTTCCCACCCCCGTTAACCCGCCCCAGTTCCCAACCCCCTGTTAACCCGCCCCAGTTCCCAACCCCCTGTTAACCCCCCGCCCCAGTTCCCAACCCCCTGTTAACCCGCCCCAGTTCCCAACCCCTGTTAACCCGCCCCAGTTCCCAACCCCCTGTTAACCCGCCCCAGTTCCCAACCCCCTGTTAACCCGCCCCAGTTCCCAACCCCCTGTTAACCCCCCCCAGTTCCCAACCTTTGTTAACCCGCCCCAGTTCCCAACCCCCTGTTAACCCGCCCCAGTTCCCAACCCCCTGTTAACAACCCGCCCCAGTTCCCAACCCCCTGTTAACCCGCCCCAGTTCCCAACCCCCTGTTAACCCGCCCCAGTTCCCAACCCCCACCCGCCCCAGTTCCCAACCCCCTGTTAACCCGCCCCAGTTCCCAACCCCCTGTTAACCCGCCCCAGTTTCCAACCCCCTGTTAACCCGCCCCAGTTCCAAAGTTCCCAACCCCCTGTTAACCCGCCCCAGTTCCCAACCCCCTGTTAACCCGCCCCAGTTCCCAACCCCCTGTTAACCCGCCCCAGTTCCCAACCCCCTGTTAACCCGCCCCAGTTCCCAACCCTTTGTTAACCCGCCCCAGTTCCCAACCCCCTGTTAACCCGCCCCAGTTCCCAACCCTTTGTTAACCCGCCCCAGTTCCCAACCCCCTGTTAACCCGCCCCAGTTCCCAACCCCCTGTTAACCCGCCCCAGTTCCCAACCCCCTGTTAACCCGCCCCAGTTCCCAACCCCCTGTTAACCCGCCCCAGTTCCCAACCCCCTGTTAACCCGCCCCAGTTCCCAACCCCCTGTTAACCCGCCCCAGTTCCCACCCCCTGTTAACCCGCCCCAGTTCCCAACCCCCTGTTAACCCGCCCCAGTTCCCAACCCCCTGTTAACCCGCCCCAGTTCCCAACCCCCTGTTAACCCGCCCCAGTTCCCAACCCCTGTTAACCCGCCCCAGTTCCCAACCCCTGTTAACCCGCCCCAGTTCCCAACCCTTTGTTAACCCGCCCCAGTTCCCAACCCCCTGTTAACCCGCCCCAGTTCCCAACCCCCTGTTAACCCGCCCCAGTTCCCAACCCCCTGTTAACCCGCCCCAGTTCCCAACCCCCTGTTAACCCGCCCCAGTTCCCACCCCCTGTTAACCCGCCCCAGTTCCAACCCCCTGTTAACCCGCCCCAGTTCCCAACCCCTGTTAACCCGCCCCAGTTCCCAACCCCCTGTTAACCCGCCCCAGTTCCCAACCCCCTGTTAACCCGCCCCAGTTTCCAACCCCCTGTTAACCCGCCCCAGTTCCCAACCCTTTGTTAACCCGCCCCAGTTCCCAACCCCTGTTAACCCGCCCCAGTTCCCAACCCTTTGTTAACCCCCCCCAGTTCCCAACCCCCTGTTAACCCGCCCCAGTTCCCAACCCCCTGTTAACCCGCCCCAGTTCCCAACCCCCTGTTAACCCGCCCCAGTTCCCAACCCCCTGTTAACCCGCCCCAGTTCCCAACCCCCTGTTAACCCGCCCCAGTTCCCACCCCCTGTTAACCCGCCCCAGTTCCCAACCCCCTGTTAACCCGCCCCAGTTCCCAACCCCCTGTTAACCCGCCCCAGTTCCCAACCCCCTGTTAACCCGCCCCAGTTCCCAACCCCCTGTTAACCCGCCCCAGTTCCCAACCCCTGGTAACCCGCCCCAGTTCCCAACCCCCTGGTAACCCGCCCCAGTTCCCAACCCCCTGTTAACCCGCCCCAGTTCCCAACCCCCTGTTAACCCGCCCCAGTTCCAACCCTTGTTAACCCGCCCCAGTTCCCAACCCCCTGTTAACCCGCCCCAGTTCCCAACCCCCTGTTAACCCGCCCCAGTTCCCAACCCCCTGTTAACCCGCCCCAGTTCCCACCCCCTGTTAACCCGCCCCAGTTCCCAACCCCCTGTTAACCCGCCCCAGTTCCCAACCCCCTGTTAAACCCGCCCCAGTTCCCAACCCCTGTTAACCCGCCCCAGTTCCCAACCCCCTGTTAACCCGCCCCAGTTTCCAACCCCCTGTTAACCCGCCCCAGTTCCCACCCTTTGTTAACCCCCCCAGTTCCCAACCCCCTGTTAACCCGCCCCAGTTCCCAACCCTTTGTAAACCCGCCCCAGTTCCCAACCCCTGTTAACCCGCCCCAGTTCCCACCCCCTGTTAACCCGCCCCCCCCAGTTCCCAACCCCCTGTTAACCCGCCCCAGTTCCCAACCCCCTGTTAACCCGCCCCAGTTCCCAACCCCCTGTTAACCCGCCCCAGTTCCCAACCCCCTGTTAACCCCCCCCAGTTCCCACCCCCTGTAACCCGCCCCAGTTCCCAACCCCCTGTAACCCGCCCAGTTCCAACCCACCCCCTGTTAACCCGCCCCAGTTCCCAACCCCCTGGTAACCCCCCCAGTTCCCAACCCCCTGGTAACCCGCCCCAGTTCCCAACCCCCTGTTAACCCGCCCCAGTTCCCAACCCCCTGTTAACCCGCCCCAGTTCCCAACCCTTTGTTAACCCGCCCCAGTTCCCAACCCCCTGTTAACCCGCCCCAGTTCCCACCCCCTGTTAACCCGCCCCAGTTCCCAACCCCCTGTTAACCCGCCCCAGTTCCCAACCCCCTGTTAACCCGCCCCAGTTCCCAACCCCCTGTTAACCCGCCCCAGTTCCCAACCCCTGTTAACCCGCCCCAGTTCCCAACCCCCTGTTAACCCGCCCCAGTTCCCAACCCCCTGTTAACCCGCCCCAGTTCCCAACCCCCTGTTAACCCGCCCCAGTTCCCAATTCCGTGTTAACCCCCCCCCAGTTCCCAACCCCCTGTTAACCCGCCCCAGTTCCCAACCCCCTGTTAACCCGCCCCAGTTCCCCCCAACCCCCCACCCCCTGGTAACCCCGCCCCAGTTCCCAACCCCCTGTTAACCCGCCCCAGTTCCCAACCCCCTGTTAACCCGCCCCAGTTCCCAACCCCCTGTTAACCCGCCCCAGTTCCCAACCCCCTGGTAACCCGCCCAGTTCCCAACCCCCTGGTAACCCAACCCAGTTCCCAACCCCCTGTTAACCCGCCCCAGTTCCCAACCCCCTGTTAACCCGCCCCAGTTCCCAACCCCTGTTAACCCGCCCCAGTTCCCAACCCCCTGTTAGTAACCCGCCCCAGTTCCCAACCCCCTGTTAACCCGCCCAGTTCCCAACCCCCTGTTAACCCGCCCCAGTTCCCAACCCCCTGTTAACCCGCCCCAGTTCCCAACCCCTGTTAACCCGCCCCAGTTCCCAACCCCCTGTTAACCCGCCCCAGTTCCCAACCCCCTGTTAAACCCGCCCCAGTTCCAACCCCTGTTAACCCGCCCCAGTTCCCAACCCTTTGTTAACCCCCGCCCCAGTTCCCAACCCCTGTTAACCCGCCCCAGTTCCCAACCCTTTGTTAACCCGCCCCAGTTCCCAACCCCCTGTTAACCCGCCCCAGTTCCCAACCCCCTGTTAACCCGCCCCAGTTCCCAACCCCCTGTTAACCCGCCCCAGTTCCCAACCCCCTGTTAACCCGCCCCAGTTCCCAACCCCCTGTTAACCCGCCCAGTTCCCAACCCCCTGTTAACCCGCCCCAGTTCCCAACCCCCTGTTAACCCGCCCCAGTTCCCAACCCTTTGTTAACCCGCCCCAGTTCCCAACCCCCTGTTAACCCGCCCCAGTTCCCAACCCCCTGTTAACCCGCCCCAGTTCCCAACCCCCTGTTAACCCGCCCCAGTTCCCAACCCCCTGTTAACCCGCCCCAGTTCCCAACCCCTGTTAACCCGCCCCAGTTCCCAACCCCTGTTAACCCGCCCCAGTTCCCAACCCCCTGTTAACCCGCCCCAGTTCCCAACCCCCTGTTAACCCGCCCCAGTTCCCAACCCTTTGTTAACCCGCCCCAGTTCCCAACCCCCTGTTAACCCGCCCCAGTTCCCAACCCCCTGTTAACCCGCCCCAGTTCCCAACCCCTGTTAACCCGCCCCAGTTCCCAACCCCTGTTAACCCGCCCCAGTTCCCACCCCCTGTTAACCCGCCCCAGTTCCCAACCCCCTGTTAACCCGCCCCAGTTCCCAACCCCTGTTAACCCGCCCCAGTTCCCAACCCCCTGTTAACCCGCCCCAGTTCCCAACCCCCTGTTAACCCGCCCCAGTTTCCAACCCCCTGTTAACCCGCCCCAGTTCCCAACCCTTGTTAACCCGCCCCAGTTCCCAACCCCCTGTTAACCCGCCCCAGTTCCCAACCCTTTGTTAACCCGCCCCAGTTCCCAACCCCCTGTTAACCCGCCCCAGTTCCCAACCCCCTGTTAACCCGCCCCAGTTCCCAACCCCCTGTTAACCCGCCCCAGTTCCCAACCCCCTGTTAACCCGCCCCAGTTCCCAACCCCCTGTTAACCCGCCCCAGTTCCCAACCCCCTGTTAACCCGCCCCAGTTCCCAACCCCCTGTTAACCCGCCCCAGTTCCCAACCCCCTGTTAACCCGCCCCAGTTCCCAACCCCCTGTTAACCCGCCCCAGTTCCCAACCCCCTGTT